ATATATATATATATATATATATATATATATATATATATATATATATGCATGCATGCATATATATGCATATATATATGCATGCATTTGAACAAGCTTTTTATTTTCCAATCTAATAAATACCAAGGAAGAAAAACGTTGCGATGAAACAGCAACTCTTGGTGTTTTAGGCTACATTAAAAAAATAAACATGAATATTGTGTTTTATTTGACATGTGGCATGCTTCGTTCAGAAAGTAGCTGCTGTTCAGAGGCAGAATAAAACCTCTGTTGTTGTTTGGAGCATCAGTCTGACACGGCGCATGTTGGATTACAACTTCAATGCTGGTAAAAGCCTTTTTTTTGATCATTTATTAATATTTCTTCATTTATTACAGTTTAGTCAGTTTCGCTTAAGTTTTTCAGTTTAGTATTTGAGTGTTGAAATATAAAATACCTTTGCCTTCTTTTCTTCTCTTTAATTTTATTTTCGAAACGAAAAAAGTTACTCTGATGATGCTAGCTGTAAAATATTCACTCATAACTCAAATACTTTTTCTTTCGTTTATTGAACTATTTAAGATTATTGAATTCTTCAGTTAATTCAACTTTAAATTAGTTTTTTGCGTTTAAAAAGTAAGATTCCTACTGCTACTTATAAATGTTAAACAACATTATGTAAAAAAAAACAACAACAACTACTTTTAGCAGAATTTTTAAATATTGCATTATTTACTGTTTGTCATATAAGATTATTTTTGAAAAATGAATTGTTGTGCAATTATTAATTTTAAATTTAACTTTTTTTTTATCAGAACCACATTTTTAGATTAATATCAGGACAGCAAAGCATGTCAGCTGCTCTAAAGTCTTTCTTCATGTGTGTTTTAATTCAAGGTAAGCTATTTGTCATAGTTAATTTATAATAAACTAAATATATTTGCATGTGTCTGCAATGAAGCAGCTTTTCTCTTTTTTAAAACTATTGTCAATTCTTCACTTTCTGGCACCGACAGTTGAATAATTGCCTGTTTTTGTATTTAACCCTTGCATTGTTCCGTCCCAGGCGCTGTCTGCCGGCACTGGTCAGCCGTCCTGCCTCAGACGGTCACAGCGCTGAGTGGATCATGTGCGGTCATCCCTTGCAGGTTCACTTTGCCTCCAGAGTGGGATCAACACCTGGACCATTCCTGTAGGGCCATATGGAAGCGAGGCGGGAGGACGCAAACACAAGTGTTTGATTCTAGCCTCACGGGAGCAAATGTGAAACAAAACGTCATGCAGGGAAACCTGAGCGGGATTCTCCAGGACAAAGAATGCACCACCGTCTTCAACAACCTTCCATCAAACACTTACGATAATTATTACTTCAGACTGCAGTGTGACAACTCTCTGAAATACAACTTTCCAACAAGTGTCTTCATCACCACTCGAGGTTTTTGCCTTTGCTTTTGAACATGTAGACCAGGGTTATTCAACTGGTGGCCCGAGGGCCAAATCAGGCCCACTGGTGTTCGGCCCACCAATGGGTTCAGTTTTAAATAAAACTATATTTTAAACCATAAAACAAACATTTAATGACAATAACTGCTGGATGTCCAGACCTTGAGCTCTTGGCTTTCAGTAATTGTGGCCCTCTGAGCAATAGAGATGAATATCCCTGATGCAGACCTACTTCTTTTGGTACCTTTTACGTATTTAACCTGTTTTCTCATTGTTTGACTTTTCAGATTCACTTCCCAGACTTACAGTAACTCCAGTCAGGCTGGAAGTAGAAGAAGGAACTCCAGTGACGCTGAACTGCTCCGCTCTTAACCCCTGTCCTGCTCTTCCTCCAGTTTTAACATGGACACCCAGTATAGGTGACACTGAGGAGAATACGACAGGAAAACCTGTGATTTCTGTGCTCAACTTTACGTCTTCTTACGTCCACGACGGACAGAAGTTTTCCTGCAATGCTCTCTACAGCCGACAAGCTGGGCACAGTGACCTTATTTATAAAAAAAGTTTAACCTTGCGTGTTCTTTGTGAGTATGTTGCAAATATTTCCACTTCCTGATTGGCTTCACTTTTCAGACCTAGATGTTTGTTTACAGAATGTTGAATGAAGGGTGTCTGCCAGAATAACAAAACAACAACAACAAAAAAATTGCTGCTTTTTATGATTTGAAAATTTCCTTTATTTCATCCAGATCCTCCTCGTAACACATCAGTCCGCTACTCTGGTCCAGTCCTCGAGGACAGCTCGGTCGTTCTGACCTGCAGCGCTGATGCAAACCCAACTGTGGACAGCTACATCTGGTACAAAGTCACTGGAGACAAAGTGGAAGCTGTGGGATTTAGGAAAAGACTTTTGACTACAGTCAAGGAGGCAGAAAGACAATTTTTCTGCAAAGTCAGCAACAAATATGGATCCCAGAACTCCTCCATCGTTCAGATAGACGTTAAGTGTGAGTTAAAGTGGACCACCAACACAGACGTCTTTTCATAACATGGAGATTAATTTATTCTCGTTTGTGTTTCCAGTTTCTCCAAAGGGAACTACAGTAATTGTGAACGCGACTGGTCCAGTCCTGGAGGGCGGTTCAGTTTCTCTGCTCTGTCAGAGCCGTTCAAACCCACCGGTGACCGACTACACCTGGTTAAGAGACGATGAAGTGGACCAGGAGACCGGCCCCATCTTAATTATTGATGACATCACTTCCAGTCATAGCGGTGGTTATCAGTGCGCAGCAAAAAATCCCCATGGAGAAGAAAGTTCAGCAAAGATTCATTTGGATGTGCAGTGTGAGTTTTTTTTGTGTTTTTTTTTTTTTAACAAATCTTCAGTGATGATTAAAAAAACAGAGCTGAGTTAATCTCTGTTGTGAATCCAGCTGAACATGAAGGGAAGCCATTATTTCTACTGTCTGAACCACGTACAGTAACCAGCTGTCAGGTTTCATGACAGCCTCAGAATCCACACTGTGTTTGTCCTCTTACATGAAGTACTATCAGAGCTAAACCTTTCTTTCAGATCCCCCTAAGAACACATTGGTGTCGGCTGACCCGTCTGGTCCGATTCTGGTTGGCAGCTCTGTGACTCTGACTTGCACAACCACGGCCAACCCAGCAGTCGTAAACTTTAGCTGGTTCCGAGCAGCTGAAAGAGAAAAGGAGGCGGTTGGATCTGATCAAGACTTCACCTTCAATGTGACCAAACTCTCAGAGGATCAGTATTACTGCGAGGCTCTTAACGTCCACGGAGCTGACAGCTCTGAGCCCACCAGGGTGGATGTCATGTGTAAGACCTGTCATTTACATCAACTCTCCTTTGTTTAATCAAAAAGCAGCATGTAAAGACAGACACTGATGTTCTGTGTTTCAGTTCCTCCAGAGATCCTACCCTCTTCCAGATGCACCAAAATGTTATCCCAGTTTTGGTGTTCCTGCATCAGCCAGGGTAACCCACTTCCTTCCCTGGTTTGGGAACTGGCTGGGGAGCCTGTCAATCACTCTGACCCTTCGCTCCAGGAGCTAACCATAGGACACACAACCCTTGAGAGCCTCCTAACTCTGTACCGAGTGAATGAAGACATGCCTTCTCTGGTGTGCCTCAGCAGCAACTCACTGGGCTCTGATAGGCTGGATTATGAAGTCTCCTCCAGTGAAAATCAGCTGGGTAGGACACTCTGCATGGAGCTGCATCCATACACATATTTATTGTTGATCTCTTGATCTCACTGCTGTGGGTTTTGTGGAGGGTGGGTTCAGGTCTTCATGCTGAGTCTCTGCTCATTGGCTCTGCAGTTGGAGCTGTGGGGATGCTGGTGGTGTGCGTCCCACTGCTGATTTATTTTTGCAGGTAAGAACAATACCCCAAAATCAGCCAACATTGTTGCAAACACATGATCTGTTCTGATGGTGGAGACAAAAATGAACTCAAACACCTTGACGCTTTTTGATCACAAAGCACGTTGTTCTTTTCCCTTTTATTGGATAATTACTGCATTCGCCATTATCTTTCAGCTGGCAACAAGTTATTTAATCCCAACTGGTGCAATGAGTTGGTTCTCATTTCTTAAACAACCATGTTGAAAGACACATCGCGTGGTCGTGGAAAAAATGTCAGTCTGTGTGAGAAGGGTCAAATCATTGGCATCAAGCAGAGAAAACATCTAAGGAGGTTGAAGAAACTAAAATAACTGGATTAAGAACTGTCCAACACATTATTAAAAACTGGAAGGATAGTGGGGACCCATCGTCTTCGAGGAAGAAACGTGGCCGGAAAAAAAATCCTGAATGATCGTGATCGGCGCTCATTTAAACGTTTGGAAATCAAATCAAAGAAAAACAACAGCAGCACTCAGGACTATATTTAATAGTGAAAGTAAGAGCATTTCCACACGCACAATGTGAAGGAAACTCAAGGGATCGGGACTGAACAGCTGTGTAGCCTTAAGAAAACCACTAATCAGTGAGGATAACCGGAAAAAAAGGCTTCAATTTGCTAGGAAGCATAAAGATTGGACTCTGGAGCAATGAAAGGTCATGTGGTCTGATGAGTCCCTGTTCCAGAGTGATGGACGCATCAGGGTAAGAAGAGAGGCAGGTGAAGTGATGCACCCATCATGCCTAGTGCCTAATCATCAGTGCAAGATCTTGGTGAAAAATTAATGCAACACTGGATGGAAATAGATCTTGTGACATTGCAGAAGCTTATCGAAACAATGTCACAGCGAGTGCATGATGTAATCAAAGCTAAAGGCGGTCCAACAAAATATTAGTGTGTGACCTTTTTTTTGGCCAGGCAGTGTAGTTGCACACATGCTTATGTCTATTTTAGGTTTACAGTAGTCCCTTATTTATCCCGTACCCTGAGCCCTGCGATAAGTAAAAAAACCACAAAGTAGGAATAATAGTACAAATAGT